GAAGAAACTGGCTGTCAGGGTGCCAACACAGCTGTGACTCTGCATTTCCCCTGCTCCTGTCTCCCCCTCTTACGTTAAACTGTCAGTGGTAGAAAGCTGGCAGCAAGAACTGTCTCCTTCAGGTCCCTCCCCTGCTGATTGACAGCAGGCAGTGGGCGAGTGCAATAGCCGGCTTATTATCGGCTATTGCAGTTTGAAATGGCCAATAGCAGGCTGGCTATTGTTAGGCTGGCAAGTACTGATGGGGTGGTCATAATAATCTGGCCACTCAGTGTGTGTGTGGGTGTGTGTGTATATATATATAGATATAAAAAGTCTAATACAATACATACAATTATTTTTTTTAAATGTTATAAAGGTGGTGAAAAAAAGTAATTTTCTGTTTCAGCCTGACAAATTTTTCTGCTGGAGGTGCCTTGCCACTCATTTCAGTGGCACTCCAAAAGCGCCTCCCACCCGAAGTGTGATCGTCGCACTGGAGTGTGCAGTACTGCAATGCTATGTGTTCCAGTGCGGTGCGATGGGAAAAAAATTGTGCATACAGTTTTATTCTGAAGTAAACTTTGTAACACTCCATGTGTGTATTTTATTTTAAATAAAGGATGTTATTTTCTTTTTTAATCCAATTGATCGAAAAAATAATCAGCCAACTCACTGCCGCAAAATAAACCTTTAATCAAATGAAAGCATTTAATCAAAAGAAATTGTCAGTCTGACTTAACTTTAAAGGATGTGCATTAACATAAAGCTTGTAGATCACTTTGAAAAAATGAAAAATTTATTTTTAAAGAAGTTTGTTTATGCTATAATTAGTTATATGACCTTCATGTTTTTTTCTGTATCTTTGTGAAAATCCTTCATTAAAACACTATAAACAAATGTGGTTATAACAATGCTCAATAACAGATCCAGCATATTAAGAGTACATTTGTAAAGATTAATAAATAATGTCCTTAAGTACATTTGACCTAGTCCTCATGGCAAGCGTACATATACTTTGGTTTCTTTATATTGCCTATGTGACTTATCTTTAGAGAAAAAGCATTTTGTGAAATGTTCACAACCAAGGACAGTTTGTATTGTAACACTCTCTTGGTAACGCTGTCTCTGCGTGTACTACTTACAGTATATACTGATATTAGGAGGTTTGCTTGCTTTTGTGGAGACTAATCTTGTGCAAATTGATGTTTCTCGTTTGTTTGTTGACGGCCAACCTATGTATGCATGGCAGACAATAATTTCTTGTGTTTTTTTTTTTATTCTGTATTGTAAGTCGGTGGGCCTCTAAGTTGGGTGTTTTAGTAAACATAAATGCATCTTGTATGGAATGATGCACTTGTGTGCCTTGCATTATCAGGCACATGTGGTTTAGTTCACATAGATGTGAACATGTATTGCTTGTCTGAAGAGCAAAGTGTTTGCCAGGTGTTTGTGAAGCTTTCTAAAGTACTTTTCTTGAAGTACTTAAAAGAGAACTAGGGGGTAATGTGACCCAAAACTCCCGTGACCCAAAACTCAGTATATAGCGGGCTATTGCACACTATATGCTGAGAGCGCCGCAGCCAGGATGGATTCTGACAATACTGTTGAGATCCACCAAGCTGGTAGTCTTCGCTCTCTGCAGGGAGATGATCAGGAAGTGAGCAAGCGGCAGTATGTTTTTGCTCACTTCCCAATCAATGGAGCCGATGTGACAGTTTCAATGTCACACATCGGATCTAACTATGGGGATAAGTGTAATTCACTCGCTCTATAGTTCTCCTTTAAAGCACTTGTCATCCTTAGTCAGGTAGTGCTGAATAAAGATCATAAAGTGCTGACTGTAGTTTTGAACAGATTACACTGACAGGCTATATTGGGCATTTAGCAAGATCCAGCATTGATTGAAGCTTGCTGAAGCCTTCAAGAAGCTTGTTTAAAGCTACAAACTGCCACCCCATTAACATGCACTCACCAGCCACTTTATTAGGTACACTTTGCTAGTGCCAGGATGGACCCCCTTTTGCCTTCAGAACTGTCTTAATTCTTAATGGCATAGATTCAACAAGGTGTTGGAAACATTCCTCAGAGATTTTGGTCCATATTGATATGATAGCATCACGGGCCCAAAGTGTGCCAAGAAAATATCCTCCATACCATTACACCACCAGCCTGAACCGTTGATACAAGGCAGGATGGATCCATGTTTTCATGTTGTTTACACAAAAAAATTCTGACCCGACCATCTGAATGTCGCAGCTGAAATCGAGACTCGTCAGACCAGGCAAAGTTTTTCCAATCGTCTGTTGTAGAGCTGCAGCTAACGATTATTTTCAAAATCGATTAGTTAGCCACTAGGTTCACACCTAGGCCATTGGGCTGGTGAGCTGTTTTTGCGCGGTTGTCGCGTGTTTTTGGTCAAGTGATTTTGATTTGAAAACCGTGTGATTGTCGCATGGTTTTCAAAGCATAAAGAGGTCTATGGTACCCAAACCACAACGCGACAACCGACTGAAAATTGCTCCTGTAGGTGATTTCTACCGCGCAACAAATCACAAAGCTGTGAACAGCTTTCATAGACTTGAATGTAAATCTCTCTTTTGTGCGATATCGCACGGATTCGCCTCGGCGTGAGACTAGCCACCAGGTTCCACGTGTTGTGCGTTCAGAGATGGTATTCTGCATACCTTGGTTGTAACAAGTGGTTATTTGAGTTACTGTTGCCCTTCTATCATCTCGAACCAGTCTGCCTATTCTCCTCTGACATCAACAAGGCATTTCCGCCAACACAACTGCCGCTCACTGGATACTTTCTCTTTTTCGGACCATTCTCTGTAAACCCAATAGATGGTTGTGTATGAAAAGCCCAGTAGATCAGCAGTTTTTGAAATACTCAGACCAGTCCATCTGGCACCAACAACCATGCCACATTCAAAGTCACTCAAATCCCCTTTCTTCCCCATTCTGATGCTCAAGTTGAAATTCAGCAAGTCGTCTTCACCACATCTAGATACCTAAATGCATTGAGTTGCTGCCATGTGATTTGGCTGATTAGCAATTTGTGTTACCAAGTAATTGAACAGGTGTACCTAATAAAGTGGCTGGTGAGTATGTACAGGTGAAACTCGAATAATTAGAATATCGTGCAAAGTTCATTTATTTCACTAATGCAACTTAAAAGGTGAAACTAATATATGAGATAGACTCATTACATGCAAAGCAAGATAGTTCAAGCTGTGATTTGTCATAATTGTAATGATTATGGCTTACCGCTCATGAAAACCCCTAGAACCCCAAATCCACAACCTCAAAAAAGTAGATTATTACATGCAATCAATAAAACAAGGATTGTACATAGAACAATATCGGACCTCTGAAAAGTACAAGCATGCATATGTACTCAGTACTTGGTTTGGGCCCCTTTTGCAGCACTTACTGCAATTACTTTTGCACAATATTCTAATTATTCGAGTTTCACCTGTATTTGGTATTCCCTGACTTGCTTTAAGAAAGCTTTAAGGACTGTAGGGCAACCTCTTTATGAAAAATTAAATTGATTATTTTACAGTAGCTAATGTCAACCTTATACAGAACCTCAGCTAAACCTAAAATGATAATGTGATCCATCAGGTGACTCTTTTTAACACAGTAAGTAGGGATTTGTGTGACTGAGGAGCTCTGCAAAGACAACCATCTCCTGTTCTTAACATTGTAGCATCACAGTGGCCAGTTCTGAAACCACAGGGAAAGCAGAGAAATCTGGATGAATCTATGAGGCACAATTAGTGCAGGAGTTAGCAAGTGGCAATCAGTTTTTGGCTATATTACAACAGAAATTCTGCCAGCTTAAGCTGGGTACACATGGTCACATTCCTCCATCCACACTAAGAGGATGAACCAGTCTCCTGCTGTGTACATTCTGATAGCGGTGTTGGCCGTTGTCAGAATACCCGAACAGTGCTTGCACCTGATGATTTTCCAGCATGTCCCTTCAGCACAAAGTCGATCTAATCGACTTCTGTCAAGGAGATAGGGACATCCACCGATCAGATTTCATTCCCCACACTCCATGTGTACCCAGCTTTAGTCCCATCTCATTCCATTTTCTGCTATGGGAGGCATTAGCTTGTTTCAGAAATCCAGTGTTGCCACCATTTCATAGCTTGGAATCTGGTGAAGATCTTATCATTATGATAAGCCAGGCTTAAAGCAACCAAAAAGCTCCCCTTCTATTTGTCTTTGGAGTTGCAAGTGAGGTAAAATCCCAATTTTTTGAGTTGTTACCAGAACCAGAATAGATCTTCTAATAGGGACACTTGTTCTGATGACAACTGTCTAAGAGGATATTTCCCTCACTTTGGAGAGATTTCCTTTCAATTATTTTGTGTCTACAGGACAGGAAGTGAAGGGAAATCTCATAAGAGTCAGATGGCCAAATAAACCCTGACAGGGGATTTAACTGTTTCTCACTCTGTCCAAAATGAAAAAAAGAAAGAAAAGGCTCGCTGATTTATAGAAGAATTCTTGGGAAAATGATTAACCCTTGCAGAAGGATTGCCCCACACTGCAAAGGTTAGGTGCTCGTTTTGGTCTAGGGAGGCAAATAAAGTTATACTCGCCTGAGTCTCAGAGCCAGCTTGTTCTTAGACCGGTCCCTGGAGCCTCTTTCCTCCTCCCCTGCAGCGTTCTAAAGTCCCATAAATCATCACATTCAGTAGACAGTGTATAGTACATGACGACATCGAGGGGCATGCCATTGCTGCTGTGGAGGAGGAGACAGGCAGGAGGGAGGGCTTTGAAAGCCGGCCGGCTGGAGGATGAGTATAGCTTTGTTATTTTCCTCTCTAGACCAAAACGAGCGGTTAACCCTTACAGTGCGGGGGTAGCCCCACTGCAAGGGTTAACAGTAATTTTTCCAAGAGTTCTGCTTTAATGTGAACTTTGAAAAAAAAAAAATATATATATATATAAACCTTTATTCTTTGTTCTGAAAATAAAATAAATGTTGCCTTTAATTTCAGAAACCTGGACTCGACCTGGCAGACACTTATATCACATTCGTTCGACAAAATCAAGATATTTTACGAGAAAAAATCAATGAGGAAATGTATATAGAAAAGTTATTTGATGTAAGTAATTCATGATAAAAATGTAATCACTAAAATAAGTTATGATCTAATGTGAATATAAACTGGTATTTAGTTTTGCTTGGCCTTTGTCTTTTATATGTATGCATGCTGTGTTAGATATACATATAGACAAGAAATACTATAAGTATTACAGCTCTGCACATACAGAAGCCCTGCTCCTTTCACAGTTTAGCTTTGGGCCTTATTTATCATCATGTCTTGTAAGAATTGTCTCCATTTACAAATGCTGAGATAAAACCTAAACTAGACAACTGGGTAAGAAAATCTGGTGTGAGACACACAAAGTAAAGTAGAGAAGGCTTTTCGCACTCCTTACTGGATTTCCCAGCTGTCGGGGAAGGGTACTTGTAATGACTGCGGATGGCGCCGCTTGTAGTAAATCGTAACCAGCACACCAAAAATCCTTTTGAGGATCACTAAATGCTCATTTATTCAGAACCATGTCAAGTTAAACAAGCGCTTTCAGGGCCACGCGGGGTCCCTTCATCAGGCTTAGCATTGACTACAATGCTAAGCCTGATGAAGGGACTCTGCACAGCCCCGAAAGTGCTTGTTTAACTTGAGATGGATGTGAATAAATGAACATTTGAAAATAAACATGACACTGAAAGTAAAGTCTTCACCTTACCATAGAAGACAGAGCCTATGTTGCCTATCCTGCAATGTTTGGTATTTGATAATATGGTATTTTCTATTGACCTCCTAAATGGAATGAAATCCCAGATGAACACACAATTGTATATATTCAGGTAAATCTAAATTAAGGACCATATTGCAGAGAAGATGGACACACGGGTCTGCAACCTGCTACTTTTGATACATTTTTCATACTTTTTTTCAGTTTTCATCTGTTTTATAAATGAGGGTGCAGTTATGAATATGGAGGTAAAGTGTAAATATCATGTGTGGTTTGAAGCTAATATATTTTTGAAGGTGAAGGGAAACTACAAAATGTGTGCTTATCACCCCAAAATCCATATCTTTGTATGTGGCTGGGTTGAAAAATGTTAACTGTTTGTCAAGTGCTTGTATTTCTTTAATTTGTAGTTATATTAGCGTAGATAAATATACATAATGTAAATGTAAGTTGGTTGCTATGGTTTTCCCAAACTGGGTGGCAAAGTAAGCTTACAACATTGGGATTTCCCCAGCCCTGCCCTCTGAAGTGATGACAGCATGAGGATTTATTAGCTCAGCAACTTGGGTGACAATCAGATGTTTCGTGCTTTAAATTTTTTCAGGGCTGAGGCACAGCATAACAGAATATGGGGGAACAGGGGTGGCATTTGTGCCTAAAGGAGAACATGCTTGGAAATGTACTTCTGAGGACAGATGTGTGTTGGTCTTCCAAGCTTTGGGGTTCCAGAGAAGGTTAGCTGTGGGCAGTATGAAACCTCATTCGTCTCCTAGACCTTCACCTATGTGAGCAGCATGGGATTGTCTCAGAGAAGTCTAAAAGCAGAATTTAGGGTGGTTTCTTATGAGTTTTGTATCCAGCAGCAAAGCCATTATTTGCTCCTTTTTTTTTTTAAAAGTCTTCTGATGAGTTGTCCAGTTTGGAAAGATCCGTTGCTTGACAAGAACTCTTGTCAGTGGAAAGTAGCAATTTTCTGTGGCACTGTTATGCCTCTTGCATTTTCAGAGTAATGCCTAGCGAATTCTGCAGCTCTGACTTATCGGTCATCACTGCATACACCTACTCTCTGCTTCTGCGCAGAAGGTATACATCTGTATGTAGTGCAGAGACACCAGGCAAGCTTGCTGGACAACAACACAGCTAGTAAGGTGAATATGCGGAGATAAAAGCAAAGGCTGATATAAACTGCAGAAGGCCAAATGTCCTCCTTGTGTGCATGTATGCTTCGCTTCTGTTGATTAGGTGTTGGGTGGTCATTAAAAAAGCTGGCGCCAAAGGTATTTATTTTAAATTTGTCAATTGGTTAAATTTCCTTTGTCTTTCTTCAAGCTAAGGAACAATTTATTTCCTGGAAAAACATAACATCAGAGTTGTTTTCATCAGCATTTTGATGTAAATATTAAAACGTGTAGTTAAACTTCTTGCTCAAGTGTAGCTAAACCTCCCTGTTCATATTAAATCCAGAAAAAAATCACTGACCAATCCATTGTAAAATGTGACCTCAAAGATCTGCTACTACAGTACAATTTATTACTAATGTTTATGGCTTGTGATAATCCCACTAGTGAAGCCAGGTTTACAAGCTTATATTTTCTTAGTTCGACTTGCAGACTGAACAAAGAAAATATGACATATTTCTCCATCAATGCTTACCAGCATTGATAGGCAAATCCCCTGCTGTTTGCTGGTGGCCACTGCCAGAATACCAAACAGAGCTAGCAGCTGATTAGCTCTGTTCAACCGAGAGTTTTCCAACATATTCCTTCTATCAGCTGCTTAAGGGATGAAAGGGTGCCGACAGTCGCACCCACTGTGCAAATTTCAGTGGGTTTATCAGGATTCAGCCAAAATTTGTACTGTGGATACCGGGCTTTATTCGGGTACATGAGGCTCTTTTCCAAATGTTTTCTTTTTTCTTTTTTTTTTCCATATACCCTTTTTCAGGTGTCATTATAATGATCACTACCACCTGAGATTTATTTTCAGCGATCCTCATCTTGTTTGATCCAATGTATGTGTTCTATACGCTGTTTTTCATATGAATTAACCATTTCCTTCAGTTTCTTGCATAGATATTGCATTGATCACCTATGTAGGATGCACAGAGTAGCTTTTCAGATCATGTGAAATGTGATCCTGTTTTTAAAAATGCTTTGTTAATAAATTTCGCTATTGGTATACACTGAGTGGCCAGATTATTATGACCACCCCATCAGTATTTCGTTGGGCCACGAGATGACTCCACAAGATGACTTAGTTGGGCCGCCTCGTGACTCCACGAGATGTTGAAAGGTGATGCAAGGAATCTGACACTGCACTGTTGCCCTTCTGTTGTCTTGTACCAGTCTTGCCACTCTCCGTTCTGCCCTAACATTGACTAGTCGCTGACGGACACAATTTGCACGTTCAGACCCAGATTTTCGGCTGACAGTCCAGTCTTTAAAAACTTTAACAATGTGCCCCTCTTGAACATTTACCGAATTCTGCTGTTTTGCTGATACTCACTCCATGGATCGCACCAAACAACATCCCACCTTCAAAGGCTGTTAAATCGCGTTGTTTACCCATATCTTCAGAAAAAAATCACTTCTACTGTTGTGGTAAACAACCTGCTTCCCTATTTATAATGGTCTGGCCCTCTAGCAACTTCAGCGTGAAATTATAGCTAATTATAGCTAATTTGCCTACAAACGTCAGGTGGTCATAATGAACTGGCCACTCAGTGTAGATATTAGTTTGTGTGTTACATTTTTTTCCCACAAAGCGTATCACTTTGGGGGATATTTTTTCTTTAGTACATGAGGCTCCAGGAAGGGTGATGTGTGACACCACTGACTATGAACTAGGGTTGCTATAGTCTGTCTGACTAGCGCTCAGTTATGTTGTAATGCCAGTTGCTGATTGGTTATTATTTTTATGGTCACTTTATTAAAGATTGTTGTGCAGAGTCTCAGAAATACAACTATACCCATTGCTCTCTGATAATACACACATGGCCCCGTTTTGATGCTGCACAACCTGGCCTTATCTCTCATTGTAATATTAGTGCCATATACAGCGCCTGAGCTGTTGCATCACCATAGATAGCAATGGCTTTACCTACTTTCTGCAACTTACTGTACTGGCACTCTGAGTGTATCTGAATGTTCTGATTGTTGTAAAATAATGAAATATACTGTTTACTGTCCCATTAATTTAGGAGTAGTGACTCAAACCAGCAATTTCTACTACTGGCTTCTCCAGGCTAACTTCACACTCCAGTGTAAAATCATTGTTGATGAACAACTGTTTTCCCTAAAGTATGCCTGGATATCAATGCTCATTATAAGGATCATCACACATGTACTCTTACCACTCCCCAAAATCTATCACACCCATTTTATGTAAGCCACATTCACTTTAAATGGTATTTTTACTTAACTTGGTGAATATGGGGAAAATTCACTTTGGAAAAAATGCCTAATCATGTCCAAGAAACTTGGAAAAAACAGGAATATTGCATGCACTGGATTGGATTATTGAAGTCAGCACAGCTTCACCTCATCACTAAGCTAAGTGAAAATCACCTTTTAAAGTGAAAACCCCCTTGCAAAGTGAACGAGCTGTACTTCTTTAATAAATTCACCCCATAGTATTCAAGATATGTATCCATGCAGGTCTAAGCAATTGAATGTGCATTGTATTAATTTGTGAAAATTAACTATTTTATGGCAGATTAAATGTCCTGTCGGAATACAAAAACAGTTTTTCTCCTGCAGGATTTTTTTTTATAGTTAAACCACAATACCAGCTTCTTTATTAATCTGTCATTAAATATTCCCTGTCCTTATATAATACAAATATGAATCGCAAACAGTTACTGTGGGTGGATTTTTTGCTGCTTCTGACCTTAATTAGGCACAGGTTGCTGTCCCCATTGGGATGTTGTAGGGAATCCAGAGACACTTATGAGCATTGTTCTTTTGCTTGGAAACGCTTTCAACCTAAGCTATGCCTTGTATAGTTTTGAGTTTAGTCTACAAAGACAACATAAAGGTCTTTGAGATACTTTGTTGGAGAGCAGGTGTGCTGATGAAAAACATTTTTGTTTAAAGGGTAACTTTTCAAAATAAATAAAATCGGTGAGCTTTTTAAATTTTTATATATACATCACTATAATAATATCAAACAACCCTCTATTATAACAAAGGTTCAGCAGAAGAAATAGGTTTAATATATCTATAGCTGCAACAATCTTTACCTGTTGCTGCCACACAGGATATAGTGCATAGCACGTATGTGCCACATTGCACTGGTGTTTATTTGGTCCTTATGGATCAATTATTGTATTATTATTATCCTT